AAAACAAAGATTCAGCTTTAACAGAACATTGAAACAATACTAGGGAAGATCTGCCAGATGGAGGAGAAGAGAGGAGAGAATGCAAGCCTCCACCCCCTAGGCAAAACAAATCGCAGTTACTGCTAAGTTTAAGACTCTCTAGCTGGGTGTGGTGGCACATTCCTTTAATCCTGATACTTGGGAGGCAGAGGCAGGCAGATCTCTGAGATTGAGGCCAGGCTGTTCTACAAAGTGAGTTCTAGGACTGCTAGGGCTACACAGTCTCAAAAAACCAAAAACAAATCCAAACAAACAAAACCCCTTTAAGCTTTGAGTAGAAAGCAGTGATAGGATTTGATGTAATCGTGTGCTGAGGCGGGAGAGAGACGGACTTCAGCCTCAAAGTTATCATGTGGAACTAAGGCCTGAGATGAGCATCAGACCAAGACTAAGGTGAAGTTAGGTGCAAGCTTCCTAGGCACAGGAAGCCTCAGTGTCCCCTGCCCATCTCTATTGGATAACTGCCATTGTTTGCTTTTCTGTTGCCCCAGGGATCTGGGTCGGGGTGAACTACCAGGCTCATACTTGGGCTACTATGTATTTTTCACATGGAGGTAAAACTTTGTCCTTAGAGAACAGAACTGAAGACTTTGAGGGCTAGGGCTGAGATGGTCATTTTTGGGGATGTGTGAATTTAAGAGAGAAAAGGATGCAGAGGGTTGGTATTTAGAGCAAAATGCAGTATGACACAGAGAAAAGCAGAGGTAGCTGTGAGACAGGAGGTCAGCTGTAACCAGCAAGTGCTAAGGGCAACAATGCTCTCTCCTAGGAGGAGAAACAGAAGAGCTGCTGAATAGCGCCAGCAGAAGTCTGTGTAGGAGAGAAGACCCACATGTCCAAGTGCTACGCCAGAGAAGAGACCCAGGGGCAGCATGGCTAGAAGAGTACTGGGAGAGGCCTCAGGGTGATTCTGGGCAGAACTTGGATGAATATTCAGTTCCCAACAACTCCTCCTAAAGCTGGTTGTCATTGCAGCTCTCATCTGCTGTTAGATAACTGCTTGTTCCTATCCTCATAGGAAATGAAGTTAAATCTTGGGAGAAAATACTGGGGATAATCACTTCAAACCACTCCTCCAGCCACCTCTGAACTACTAGATCTATTTTATCCTATTAGGACCAGTTTTCTGGGAGATGGGTGCCTCACTGGGTGGGGCAGTTCAAGGACACTGGACACTTATGTAATATAAGGGGCAGGGAGAAACAATGGACCACTAAGAATAGGAAAACAGAGCCCCACAGACCTTAGAAGCAAACCACCTCTTAACTTTGTACATAACAAACCCCAATTGCCAACAGAAGTGGTCATTTTGAAGCCGGGGATCACATGTTCCCAGGGGAACATCTGCAGTGGTTTGGCTCCAATTGGGCTACACTCATGGAGCTGACAACAAGGTTAAGACAGCTCCATTATGAACCCCCTGGAGCACTTCTCTGCAGACTTCCTTCCAGGCAGATGCAAGAGCTCTTTAGCCAAGAGCACTGTGGCTCCAGGAGGCTTCGTGTGCATCTGGGACACTTCCTGAGTGGTATGCTATAGTCACATGGTGGCCCCCACGACACTAAAGAGCCTGATAAATAATTCTGCCACAATGGCCCCAGAGCCGGAGAAAAAAAGCAGAAAGCCACAGGGTCAAGTGTTTCCACAGGAAAGACATAGAAGCTATAAGATGTTTCTATTAAGTACCTGTGTTATTGCAAGACACCACAGGCCCAGGAAAGATACTCAGGGGGGAAAGCACCATGTCTACATGTTTTAGGATGAGTTCAGGGACCCAACTTATCATGAGGACACCTTTTCTTTCACTAGTGCAGAAAATGGAAGCAGTATTTTCCAAATGGGGTAAGATGATCACTTTTTTTTAAAATTCTTTTTAAGTGACAGCAGAGCAATAAAGGAAGTAGATTTCTGGTGCCAGGAAACCCAGGGGCGAGCATATGCTGAGCACAAACTGAACCACTGAGCTAGAGCTAGAACTAGCATTTTGTTCTATTTATTGTATTGTAAATATTTTGTGTTGCAATATGGTCAATGTGTAGTCCAGGGTTCCTTCAAGTTGTGATCTTCCCATTAGTTTTGTAAACCACCAGGATCATAAGAATGGGCCACCATGCCTGATTGCAATTGGCATTTTATACAGGCCACTGGCAGATAATA